ACATACACACATACACATACACATATACATGCATACATACACACATACACACATATACATGCATATATACACCCATCCATACATGCATCCATACATGCATACACACATACATGCATACAAACAAGCATACATACACATACATAATTACATACATACGTACATACATACACTCATACATACATTCATACACACATTCATACATACACACATACACACATACATGCACACATACATACACACATACAAACACACACACACATACATGCAACCACATATACACATACATACATACGCCCAAACCTACACATATACATACATACATCAATCCATACAAACATCCATGCCTACATACATATACACATGCATACCTACTTACAGACATGCAAATGCATACATAAATACATGCATGCATACATACATCTATACATACATCAACACAGACATGCACATACATATACACATACACATACATGCACACACACCTATATGCACATACATACGGGCATGCACGTATACATACATACAAACAAACATACAACCATACACACAAACGTATATACATACAAGCACACATACATACACACATACAACCAAACAGACACACGACCAAACACACACACACGTACGCATACACATATGTATGTATATGTATGTGTGTCTATATACATATACGTATGTATGTATATGCATCTGCATATGCATATGTATGTGTATATGTAGATGTATATATGTATATTTGTATATAAATGTATATATATATATACACCAGGGGACGAGGACCAGGGGCCCGGGACCGCGACCTCGACAGCGCATGGGGGTACCAGGGCCTCTGGGGCGCCCCTGGGACGGCTCCCGAGGGCGCCGGAGGCCACTAAACAGATCAAGAGGGCGCACAAGCCTCGAAATGTAGCTTGAAGACGCCGACGATGGCTCCAAGAGGGCACTTGGGTGCCCCTGAGACAACCCAAGAGGGCCCCAAGTGCCCTCCCAAGAGGGCCCCAAGAGCCCTCCCAAGAGGGCCCCAAGAGGCAAACATGGCCCCGTTCCTTTCGGATAATGTATATTTTTCAGGGATTCGCCTCTTGACCTCCAAGACGGCCCGAGAGGCCGCCAGGATCGACCCAAGACAGCCCAAGAGGGTTCCAAGACAGCCCAAAAGGGCCCCTGGCTAGCCCAATAGGTCCCCAAGACGGCCCAAGAGGGACCCAGGACGGCCCCAAGCAGGGGCCCAGAGAGGATGCCCTACGAACATTTCAAGCCCTCCGCCCCCAGAGGTCCCAAGCAGGCCCCAAGAGGCACCCGACACGCCCCCAAGAAGCTTCCCAAAAACCTATATCTCTCTATCCATCCATCCATCCATCCATCCATCCATCCATCTATCTATCTATCTATCTATCTTTCTATCTCGGAGTAGACTGGGGTGGGGGTGGGGGGGCAGGCGGCTCGGGGGGGCTTCTTGGGGCCTCCCGGGCGCCTCTTGGGGCCGAGGGCTCGAAATGTCCGTTTGGGTTCCCCGTCTGGCCCCCCTTTTGGGGCCGTCCTGGGGATATCTTGGGCCGTCTTGGAGGTCTCTTGGGCCGTCTTGGGGCCCTCTTGGAGCACTCTTGGAGGCCTCTTGGGCCGTCTTGCGGCGATATTTGGGGCCACTTGGGCCGTCTTTGAGCGCCAGGAAGCCGAACAGATGAGAACAGCAAAATTCTTCAAAAACCGAAGGGATATCGATGGTTTTTGCCTCCTGGAGCCCTCTTGAGACGCTTCTTCGAGGCCTCTTTGGGCGTCTTGGGAGCGTCTTGGGACCGAGGGCTCGAAATGTCCGTTCGGGTTCTCCGTCTGGCCCCATCTTGGGGCCGTCCTGGATACCTTGGGCCGTCTTGGAGGTCTTTTGGGCCATCTTGGGGCCCTCTTGGGCCGTCTTGGGGCTCTCTTGGAGGCCTCTTGGGCCGTCTTGGGGCGATATTTGGGGCCTCTTGGGCCGTCCTTGAGCGCCAGGAAGCCGAACAGATGAGAGCGGCAAAATCCTTCAAAAACCGAAGGGATATCGATGGTTTTGCCTCCTGGAGCCCTCTTGAGACGCTTCTTCGAGGCCTCTTTGGGCGTCTTGGGAGCGTCTGCGGCCGTCTGGAGGCGATCGCAGGCGTCTTGGACCGATCAGTCGGCGACTCGGAGCCCTCTTGGACCGTCTTGGGGACTCTTGGGGCCCTCTAGGAGCGCTCGGGGGCGCCTGAAAGCCGCGCCCAGCAGGAAAACCCCTCTCTGGGTAGTACCAGCCGGGGTACTATTCTTCTGGGGCCCCCCAGGGGCCGCCCCGCGCGCGCGCGAACTAGAAATGGTGTTTACCAGTAGCCGGAGATCTTAGCACGCCTCTGGCCCGTTGGGCCGGCGATTTGTTTATGTCTTCATGTATTCATTAATTTGCTTTGTATTGAGTTACCCACGTACAGATTCATTTGTGTATTTAGTTATGCATATAGTTACCAATATTCTGCTTTAGGTGTTTATGATTTGATATGTATGTATGTAGCGATGTATGTGTTTATGTACTGCATAGGTTAGTTTGTTTTTTTGTTTGTATGTATGCATGTTTGTATGCATGTTAGTATGTATGCAGCTATGTATGTATGCCTGTCTGTATTTCTATGTATGTATGCATGCATGCATGCATGTATATATCTATCCATGTATATATGTTTGTATGTATACAGATATCTATAGGTACAGGCCCGCGGCCCCCAAACATTTGCCTCCATTGGGAGACTGGGGCTCCGGGGGTTCTGCCGGGGCGAAGGGGGCTCCCTAAGATCGCCCGAAGACGGCCTCCGGATCGCCAAACATGGCGCTTCCATACCGCGGGAACGACCAATGGCGGCCAAGACGGCCAAGGCGGCCAGAATTAGCCCCTGACTATCCTAGAGGCCTCCAAGACGCTTCCAGAAACCTCCAGAACGGCTCCAAAGGAGCCCCGGGAGGCACAACTTATTGATTCTGCAGAAAGGTTCTTGAAGGATTTCCAAGTTCTTGCCTTTTCAGTTTTCCGACGCTCCACGACGGCCCAAGAGGTTGTATGATCCGCTCCAAGACAGCCCCAGAGGCCTCGAAAACGGCCCCAAGACGGCCCAAGAGGGCCAAAAGAGGGCGCCAGAGGCGCACAGGACGGCCCGAGAGGGCCTTATGAGGCTCCACCGAAGGCCCTAGTGGCGCCCCCCGCATGCGTCACCCCCCACCCAGTACAGCGCTTCGTGGCCCCATAGGGAGCTCCACCGAAGGTCTCAATTGCGCAGCCCGCATGCGTCTCACCCACCGAGTACAGCGCTTCGTGGCCCCATAGGGAGCTCCACCGAAGGCCCCAGTGGCGCAGCCCGCATGCGTCTCCCCCCACCCAGTAGGGCGCTTCGTTGCCCCAAAGAGAGCTCTACTGAAGGCCACGGTGGATCCACTCGCATGCGGTTACCCCTCCGGGTGCGGCGCTTCGTGGCCCCATCGGAAGCTCCACCGAAGGCCCCAGTGGCAAAGTTCGCATGCGTTCCCCCGACCCAGCACGGCGCTACGTGGCCTCATGGGGAGCTCCACCGAAGGCCCCAGTGGCTGTACTCGCATGCGTGTCCCCCACCCACATGCGTCCCCCACAGCAGTACGGCGTTTCGTGGCCCCATGGGGAGCCTACCGAAAGTTCCAGTGGCGCAGTCCGCATGCGTCTCCGATACCCAGTACAGCGTTTCGTGGCCCTACCAGGGGGCTCCACCGAAGGTTCCAGTGGCGCAGTCCGCATGCGTCTCCCGTACCCAGTACAGCGTTTCGTGGCCCTAGAAAGGGGGCTCCTACAATTGCGGTATCCACAACTGCAAATGGTTGGGTCCTTCGCCAGGCTAATTTAACTTTACCTCCTGTTTATTGTTGCAGATCAGACCATCATTAAAGCCCCCGTCACCACCGAAGAAAGATCCCAGGAAACCTTCGAGGGCCCCAAATCATCGAGCACCTAAAGGGAGTTGATGATTTTGTGGTTTCCGCATCTCCGCATCTCCCCTTTATAAGCTTCCGAGGCTTGCGCAGGGACTACCAGAAGGTCGTTAGATGAACAAGTCGCTTCAACAATTAAGATTCCATTCGTTAGCCTGTCGAGCCTAGCTAGAACTTGAGCGCGCGCGAAGCGCGCGCGATGGTTCTAGTGTTTATACATACACATAACCCATTGCCGTCCAGCTGGGATAACGTGGTTCCATGATCGGCTCATTGGCACGCGTTTTGGCGCGCCCATGGAGCGTGACTGACGTCTCCTTTGCACTTGTGTTTGCATGCTCAGCGCGCGTTTGGCGCTGCTCGCAGTTGGCGCGCATTTGGCGCGTCGATTGCTTCGCCGACTGGTATCTGACTTGCTCTCAGGTTGTCAGAATCTGCGGCAAAATGTGGGCAATGATCAGAGAGTTCATGAACGGACCTGGAACATTACAAGAACGATAACCACACCAGTATTGTTCAGCACGCCATACATCCCTCTTGCAATATCACAAGGGGCGGCGGTGCTTCCGACGTTGTCAATCAGGCCAGGGATGCCCCAAGACGGCCAAAGAGGCTCCCGAAGGCCCCCCAAAGGCCAAGGGAGGCTCTCAAGATGCCTCCAAGAGGAGGGGGAGGAGGAGGAGGATGATGAGGAGGAGGAGGTGGCGCAGGAGCAGGAAGAGGGGGTCTGGGTAGTTGGCTGGCGGCCAATTGCTCCCACATCTCTGGCGACCACAACGGATCACCCAGCTGGACCAGGTGCACAGGAAACGCCTTCGCCATGTCGCGGAGGTCTGTGAGCGACTGCCTTGCCGATGGGGCCTTCGGCTCGGCTGCTACCAGCGCTTTCACTACCGGAGGCCCCGCCCGTAGCAACGATGGGAGTGAGCCATTCGCCTCGCTCGTATCAGCTGCGGCAGCCCCGGAGCATCGAGGTCAGCTCGCACTTGTTCATCTGTGGCGGTACCGTCGCTCCCGTACCTCGTCTGCCTGGCGATGCGGCA